ATATATATATATATATATATATATATATATATATATATATATATATATATATATATATATATATATATATATATATATATATATATATATGCAATAATAAATCGTTGTCCGTAGTACAAAAAGAGTGCTCAATAACAAATTTAATTGATAGAGCAAAATATATTATTATTTTAATCTTAAAATTGTATTAATCGCTACACAGTGTTTCACGTTTTCAAAGCGATCTTCAGGCGATACTACTCTAAATACATGTTTGACATATGATATATATATATATATATAGTGTAGTTAGATATCGCTCTATGGCCTTTTGGTCATATTGAGCGCTCTACAGGATGAGCCATGCCGCTTACACATTGCGCATGAGCGCTCTGGCATGGTTTTGATGTCCCACATTCGTGAGGCATCATAGGTAACTGTAAATAGCAGTTACTTTCATTATATATACACAACAACCACATCACAAATCCTTTCCCGGCGTAGGAGCCCCACCCTGATGAAATATGAGCCAATAGCCTTTCGTGTTGATTGATACATGAGAACCAGGCTCCAGCCTGGCCAAAAAGTATCTGTGAATCATCTGGTGGAATGCAACGCAATGGTTAACCAGACACATGGGCAGACTGTCCAGTTAACTCATTGAACTACTCTCCCCTAAGATCATCGGGTGTTATATTAATAGACAGAGTAAAATAAAAAAGTAGGGAATTAAAAAAGTAGGGAATTAAAAATGGTCGATTAATCAGCTTTGCCTTCCGATTATAAATGGGCTAGTCAAGTATTTAAAAATAAATCGTTTAAAAATACGGAAAATCATTAGAAATTCTATTGCTTTCCTACTCCCAGGCAAAATGTCAAACCGTTTCTAAAAAACCTACCCACCCGACCAAAAGTCAAAACGTCATTTTGCCAATATGAACGTCGCCCCTTTAAATATAATATACATTCTTTACCATTGTTTTGCCTCTGGTATTTCACTTCCGTGTCATAATTTGCAGTCCTTAGCTCGATAATCTGAGCCTAGAAGAGAAGCATAAACATGACCTCTCGATAATTCTGCAATTGAGTAAATACACAACGTAAACATCACCATAATATACCTGCATTCGAGTGAAATCCTCTTCCCGAATGTCAGCCATGTTTTGAATTTTCGAGATTTCGTGAATTCGTGATTGGCCGACTGCCCTCCGGAAACATTCGCCGAATGCTCGACTTCCGAGAATCAGTGGAATTTTTGTGAAAAATGTTCTAATAAACTAGTCTTTTTTTAGTAAAATTTTGTAGAATATGCCAAAAGGGCAATTGCTAGATAGTATACTTCAAAATAAGCCTATAAAACCTGTCGCATGCAACCAGCTTAGGGGCCATTCACAAAGGATGTCCGGCCAAATGATGGATTTTCAGACCCCCCTTGTCCGGCATTGTCCGAATAAGTGACACCCCTCCCCCCCGGACATCCGCCATGCCTCGCAAAAACTCATGCAACCTTGTATATGTTGAGAGTAATTTTTTTTTTAGTTTTAGAACTTTTTTATAACTATAAATGTATTGAATGAAAGAATTAGATAATATTATGAAGTGTTCAAAATGCCAATTTCACAATGGGAAGAGAGTTCAAAATAGAGGAAAAAGAAATTTGTTTTTGAATTTTTTTAATGTCCGAGTTTGTCCTGATTTTCCAAACCCCCCTCCCCCCCTCGGCTCGGACATCCTTTGTGAATGGCCCCTTACAACTTGAGTTGATTGTGTAAATCAAGCACACAACTCGCCCACGACAATTTAGGCTGACAGGGTAACAGTCCCATTCTTACCACTGATCTCACCGCTATAAATAGTAATATTATACCTCACAATGAGCTTGTCCAATCAGAGAACTAAATTTGTACCACATGACCATGGTATTTTTCAGCGAATACTATGACCTAGGCAATTTGAACCCTGGGTGTTTTACCCGGGGCCATGGTATTCGACTTCGAATACCACGCTTGATCAGCGGGAAATTCGACTTTTTTAAATGTAAAGTTATCAAAAGTTGTGTTTTGAAATTAAAAGTTAATTGAATGGTATTTGTTTTCTACTTATTTTTTGAAAGGTTCGGTATAATATACCATTTATAGACCTTTCACTCGGGGTATTCCACAAAAAATTACCCTGCGGGATGAAATATTCCTCGGGCTTCGCCCTCGGAATATTTCATCCCTCAGGGTAATTTTTTGTGGAATACCCCTCTTTCAGGTCTATAACTGATAATTATATACAGTAAATATATTTTCTCACGAACTTGAAATTCGCACTTCGCGAGCAACTTTTACAGTTATAACACACAGAATCGTTCACAGAGACCCTCCCTTTAACAACTGTCGAGAAAATTTTATTTACAATAATATATTCGCGTGAACAAAGCAATAACACTCACCCCGCTTAGGCGAGCCAGCCCGGGTCATTGCATTTACATGGAAATTGCCATAAAAATTGCCAGCCCGAGATCTCGCTAGAGCATGGTTTCCATATGGTCTTAATGAATGGTCGTAAAAATAGAGTCACGATCTTTCTCAACGGCCAGTTTATAATAGTTTATACCTGTAAACCACATATAAATCATAAGTATTCTCTACTTATAATCACTCCGCGTATTTTCAGTTCTAAAATGTTGTATTTGGGCTGATGAGAAAGATCGTGACTCAATCTTTACGACCGTTACTACCATATGGAAACCAGGTTTAGACGGGCCAGCTCGGTTCCCATAAACGCAAAATAAAATTTAGTAGGAAATAATAACAAAGGCGGCCGGGATCCCGCCTAAACCGGGCCAGCTCTGGTATCTGTAATTATATGGAGCGAGCCAGCCCGGGTATCGCCCAAAAAATACACACGTTTTTTTTAAACTACACCACATAGTCACAGAATAGACACACACAGAAGTCCGACTTCATGGTTTTGGCCATACCAATCAGTATCCCCATGTACGTTCCTAACCAGTGCTCTTAAGAGTAGAATTCACCTCCCCCCCGAAGATATTCAAAATGGTAGACATTCAGGGAGGTGACTACTTCTTGTACGGAAAAGGTTATTTCGCCGGCCTCAGAATGACAAAACGTAACAAAGCATCGGTTTTACAAACACTCACCCTATTCCAAACACCAACTCTAACCCTAACCCGAACTCTAACCCTAGTTTGTTTCTAAACCAATCTTGAAGAAAAAAGTTTTGACGAAATGTCATTCTGAGGTCAGCGAAATAACTTCTTCCCTCTTGTGCGCGCACTGGCTAGGAACATGGGGAGTACATCTTGATGACGAGCGGTAGTTTACATAGTATAGTGTTTATATATTCTATGAATTTGGTGGCCACAGAGTACCCGAGTATGAATGTCTAATTTCTTGCCCAGGTGCACTGCTGTATGTTTTGCTGGAATACGCTCTGCGACGCGTTCTCTCATTGGTCAAAGTGTTGCCATGGTTACTTGAGGTTAACCGGGAATTTGAGGTCGGCGGTAGCAAAGTAGCTAAAAACAACAAAATAATATTGAACAAAATGCCATGAAATGTTTTTGCAATATTTGGGAAAATAGGTCGAAAATCAAACGGGGGGGGGGGGGGGGGGGGGGGGG